ATTCATGGATTTGGATCCTAATTGCCGCCTCTAATGGTGATAATGGTTAAGTGGAACTATTAAGGGAAAATGAGCAAATTTGACATTTGATATGGTTCAGTCAATGATTGGACTTAATTTAACTATTTTTGAATGAAAAATCTAACATAAAGACAAGTTTAATATTTTGTGATAATAGAGGTATACATTTGATATAAAAAATAATAGAAGACAAGTTTGAAAAAATATAGTAAATGGATAAAGTATACTATTAAACCTTCTTATTACCAGTTATACTTAAATAAAGAGGACAAAGAATAAGAAGCAGCAAACTGACTGGCTTCTATTGCACCCCCCTGTCCCCACACATCCACATTTAAGCCCCCTATAAACAACACATACGTGGAAGCGTTTCTACTTTCTACGGATCTTTTATCATATTGCTTTTCCAGCAAGAAACCGGCTGTAGAAGTTAAGTGCTTCTTTTGGTTTGTATTCTGGAACAGTATGACCAGCGCCCTGCAAGCCATGAAAATCCAACAAGGGTTAGTTTAGATTAACATAAACTTTCAAGGAAGACGCGTATAGGTATGGTTCATTAATTCCCACATTACCTTGATGGTTAAGAAGGTGAGGTTGTTCTCATACCCTTGAGTGTACCTGCAAACATCAACTAACGCTTTCAGGATTGAACACACAACAGTAGAAACGTGGAGAACAAAGTTTAATGATGGGAAGAAACTGCATATATATTCATACCCAGCAACTTCTCCATTTGAAATCCAAGGTCTCCATTTGTCGAAGATCTTGTATCCCATTGCTCTTGTCCATGCTTCACTCCCAGTGAACGGAACACACATGTCATGATCCCCACTGGGTTGTTTCACCACCAAAACACGGCAACAAGAATCCATCACATTGAACCAAATGCTATGTTCGAAGATCATGAAAAACTCGACCTGGTTTCTTAAGAGTTTGATGCTGAACAGCAGCTGCCATCTGATAAACTACCTGAAAATGAGTGCCCTATAGCCTTTCAAAGTCAGGTTCCTGTGGTACTTCATCATGCTGCCAGCGTCATGGTGGAATTTGATTCTATCAGTACACAGCTCCCAATCCCCAGCTACGTTTTTCTGTCATCACCCAAGTAATAGTCACGACTCACATCGATCAAATGGACTGAAAAATGTTACATCTTAAAGCGTATTGAGCATTAAGAGAGGAGAGCATACTGGTTTAGCATTGATTGCTTCCCTAACTGCTTCATTGTTGAGCCATTCGGTAGCAACTTCATCATCCTTACATGGGAAACATATAACAGCATCTCACATAAAACCCGAAATACTGCAGGAAAAACAGAGAAGACAAAATAGGGGAAATCACTAACTATTGTTCCTTACGGTGCAAGGAACGGTAAGGCTGATAAGGAGCTCTGGCCAAGTTGGAACGATTCCTTCTCTTACGTTAGCTCGAAGTGGCCAAGCATGATACGCCCCTGGGGGTGTATGTTTAACGCAGCAAACGACTCAATCGAAGAATCGATTGAGCTCGAATCAAGAACGAAGCGCTCTTAATACGAACTTGGGATAAAACGGAACCAACGGACAATTCCACACCTGGGGAAAGCTCGTATGGTATAAAAGGGTAGCTGCTCGACCACGATTGAAGAGGATATTCAATCGATACAAAGCTCAAAAGCTTGGAATCCACCAAACTCAAACAAGTCGCAACTTGCACAAACCAAACGGTTTCGATTTCTATTCAACAAAGTCTTCATTTTACAACGAAATAGAACGCTATTTAAAGGCAAATAAAACCTAATACAATCATAGTATAACTAGGAAACAATTAAGGTAAAATTCTACACTAAAAAGGACACAAAATTCGGGTTTAAACTTCCTTTCTTGAAGCACAAGTAAGCTGCCAGCAAACAGTCAAAAAGCAGCTTTCGTACTAACTTCATACCTTTCGTACAAGGCCTTCTAGAACTCCGATCTTTCATCCGATTCCTTCCCTTGGTAGATAAACATTTCTAGTTTCATGTTGTAGAAGCCTTTGGTCTCGAATCAGATCCATGCTCCTTGAATTGAGCTCCAAAGTAGGCTTCACAAAACAGTTTCCAGACTTAACCATTTTCTGGCAGTTTTCCAGTTTTGAGGTAGCAACTTTGAGGTCTTGGAAAAATATCTTAATGACATCATCTGGCTTCAAAAATCATATCATTGGAAACATGGAAACTTTATCTACAATACAAACTCTTGAACTGGAATTTCCACCAAGCCAATTGAGAGAACCATGCCTCCAAAGTATGTAACCTGAACACGGATTTTGACTTAGCCAAATTCTGCCTTTCTTCTTTCCAACCTTGATAGCTTCTTTGGCAAGTAATTGTGACTTGTAGAAGTTGCCAATTTGGATCATATCAGGCTCCCCCTCTTCAAAAAGCTTTGCCCTCAAAGCTTGATCTTTCCTTTTGTCAAAAACATCACAGAATCGATCCCAAATTGGATCGAAAGATTGCTGCTCAAACATCCTTTTCTGCAGAATTTCAACAACGTCAACTTCAACTACGATCTGTTTTATGGACTTTGAAGCTTGCAGTGTTGTAGGTAAATCTTCCTGGAATCTAACAGAACCTTCCTCGACGATCAATTTCACCTGAACGCGATCGAAAATTTTTCCAGGTTGTCGGACTTCTTCTGCGTACATGTTCTTGCTCGAATGAATTGGGGGTTTTCGATTCAAGCTTCCCCAGTCCAATTCATCGACTCCAACGTCTTCTCCAAGCTTCCAATTGAAGCTTCGTACCGGTTCACAATCTCGAATCATCACCTGTGTCTTCAATTCGTCGAGTCTCCCTTTTCCGCCGTTGGCCGTTTTCAAATTCTGGAAACCCAGAATTTTGAATTGGAAATTGGGCGTTTGTTGTTCGATCCACTTTGCGTCGAATTGATGGATGCTACACGTTCCTTGAACCTCCATGAATGGGTTTGAAGGGCTGAATTTGCTCGAATCGAGCTGGTTTGCTCTACCCAATAGAGGGTCCTTGGCGTCGTTCTTGTCCACGAACAGAGGCACTCTTACGCGATTAGATTCTTCAATTTCAGGTTGTTTCGCCTCCATTGAAGTATCTTATGACGTTTTTGGGGTCGTGGGAAACGTGTTTCCATCGGTGGGTCGTCTCGAATTATTCCCTATAGCTCCCACCAATTCAGTCTCTCTCATGCTCTGCACATTCGTCGGATGGAGCGGAGACTCTGCTGCTCGCGTCACTGGATTGAGTCGTCCGTCGGCAGCCTGCTTCCGACCTTCTCCTCACTCGTCCATACTTCCTTCCAACTCCAGCAATGCTTCTCTGGCCGCGTTGGACTCCAGTTTTGCCTCCTCGTCGTCGGCATGACTATTGGTACCGGAGCTCTGTTTTGTTGACGGAAAACAGGGGCGCACAACTCCATGGGACAGCTCTTCCTCGACGAGCTTGATCTCCGGCTGCTGCTCCCTATTAGAAATCTCCATCGCCAGCAGCAGTTCCTCCTCATCGCGTACTTGTTTTAGCATCGTGACTTGATCGTCAGCCGCTTCTTCCGGAGACAAAAACTTTAAAGCAAAACTTTTTCCACAATGCCGCAATCTAACGTGGTTTGTCCTTCTGCTTCGTCGAGCACCGCGATCAACGTGCCAAGGATTACCCAGCACTATATGTGATAATTTCAGAGGAACCACGTCGCACCGAACCACATCCTCATAGCCGCCAATCCGGAACTGTAAGGTCGCCTCCTCTGTTACGAAAACAGAGTCTTCTTCCTCCAACGATGGCAACGAATAAGGGGCTGGATGTTTTCGAATTGGCAGCCCCAATTTAGCCACTGCTCGTGAGCTAATCATGTTCGATTTGCTCTCTTCATTGATGTACACAGAGCACACCTTCTCTCCCACCAAACAACGAGTATAGGACGTCAAATTCACTTGTTCTAATTCGCCCACCATGGCTGCCCTGTTTCTCGATGAATTCTGCTTGTACGAAACAGCACGTTTTCGCCTTCTTTTTCGCCCTTGTGTAGAACCAGGCTCTGATACCACTTGATACGCCCCTGGGGGTGTATGTTTATCAAAGTAACGCAGCAAACGACTCAATCGAAGAATCGATTGAGCTCGAATCAAGAACGAAGCGCTCTTAATACGAACTTGGGATAAAACGGAACCAACGGACAATTCCACACCTGGGGAAAGCTCGTATGGTATAAAAGGGTAGCTGCTCGACCACGATTGAAGAGGATATTCAATCGATACAAAGCTCAAAAGCTTGGAATCCACCAAACTCAAACAAGTCGCAACTTGCACAAACCAAACGGTTTCGATTTCTATTCAACAAAGTCTTCATTTTACAATGAAATAGAACGCTATTTAAAGGCAAATAAAACCTAATACAATCATAGTATAACTAGGAAACAATTAAGGTAAAATTCTACACTAAAAAGGACACAAAATTCGGGTTTAAACTTCCTTTCTTGAAGCACAAGTAAGCTGCCAGCAAACAGTCAAAAAGCAGCTTTCGTACTAACTTCACACCTTTCGTACAAGGCCTTCTAGAACTCCGATCTTTCATCCGATTCCTTCCCTTGGTAGATAAACATTCCTAGTTTCATGTTGTAGAAGCCTTTGGTCTCGAATCAGATCCATGCTCCTTGAATTGAGCTCCAAAGTAGGCTTCACAAAACAGTTTCCAGACTTAACCATTTTCTGGCAGTTTTCCAGTTTTGAGGTAGCAACTTTGAGGTCTTGGAAAACAATCTTAATGACATCATCTGGCTTCAAAAAGCATATCATTGGAAACAAGGAAAATTTATCTACAATACAAACTCTTGAACTGGAATTTCCACCAAGCCAATTAAGAGAACCATGCCTCCAAAGTATGTAACCTGAACACGGATTTTGACTTAGCCAAATTCTGCCTTTCTTCTTTCCAACCTTGATAGCTTCTTTGGCTAGTAATTGTGACTTGTAGAAGTGGCCAATTTGGATCATATCAAAGCACGACCAAACATCCTTGTCCGGACAGGAAGAGGTCGTTCTATTCCACCTAATTCCAAGAAACTGGATGTCAGTCTGATTTTGTTATCTGTTGCATCTTTAGCAGCGCTGTCATGATAGCATGGTTCTAGGATGTCGTATATGTTTAGACCTTTAACTTGCTGTCAAAATAGAACAATCATGTTGAAGATGCAGGAGTTTAATGAGACCAATTCTCAAACTGCTTCTGAATGATAGGTTTGGCTATTACCCTATCAACTTCTTGCAGTTTCTCCTCACAAGCTATCTCGAGTGGATAATAGAAATTTCCATTGCACTCACGGTTCGTCTCCTGCAGAGCATTTGAACGAACCTATCAGAGTCATGCAAGTCTTTAACGTGCCTTAGAAATTCCAACCCGCTCGTTAAAGTTAATGACAAAGCATCATTTTAAATCCATACTAGCAGCTCATCAAACTTATAAAATGCACAATCCAAAATTTACACCACCAGAATTTCACCCCAAAAGTTTTCATTTCCAAATCCAGGTATGCAACATATTTTTTGCCACTGGTATGAAATAGAGTACTCGACACACCTGATACAGGTCATCTGAGATAAGGCCCATCCCATGGGCAAACGGAAAAAGTGCACTGCCATCAAATGCTTCGTCAGTGACTCCATTTCCTACCATATAACCCTGCAAAAAATGAAATGCTTATTCTTTTCTACATCTGTGGCCTTTGAGGGTTTTTACTTTGCAGGATGAAAGAATTCAGTTGGAGCTAAGCCTTGAAAAGAGATGATCTCCATATTTTTGGTACCTTCAGATTGATGACAGGCTTCACACCAGCATCAATTCCTGTAAATAGAACCAAACCCTCGTCTTTGATATCTTGTCACAAGATATGGATGGCTTGAACAAGTAGAGAAAAGAAAGACAGTACCTTTTGCAACTTCATTGGCAAGAGTTGGGACGTAAACTCCAGCATATGACTCTCCAGCAATGAAAAAAGGGTTTGAAAGGAATTCCGTGTATAGCTCAAACCACTGAATTGCAGGAATTAGCACATTTTCGATACCATAAGCACACAACAAAGTAATGATCTTCAAATACCATAATTTTTCATTCACTTTGAATACCTTCAAGACGAAGTCATGGGAATCGGTTGCAGGTTTTAGATCACCAGTTACGTATTCTGATATGTCGTCGGCATAAGAAAGCCCAACACCAGCTGGAGAGTCTACGTATAGAACACTTGATACCTAGAATTCAAAAGATCACAGTTCAGGGAAAGAGAAAAGAATTCAACTCCTAGCACTGCAAATTATCAACTCTTAACGTTAAGAAGGGATAAAATGGACTTTAAGGTCAAAACGGATAAGTTAAGTAAACCTTGGACCAAATATATGGGTTCAGATGCAACTTGGGTAGACCTTGCTTTGTCTTCTCGAAATTGAAAGGACCTGCACAGTGCATATAGACGTATCTCTTAAGTACACAGTCAATTTAACAAGCAATCTTCAATCCCATCCGCTTTGGAAAAAAGAACAGACAAAAAAGTCCTTTGAGAGTTACTCCTTACTGATCAATGTTTCAACCATAATTAAGGTGCACTAAATCACTCATATCCAATTGAGATTAACCATACCATGTTCATACACAAATCCATCGAAGCTAGAGCATCCAGGGCCACCATTAAGCCAGAGAACCAGAGGATCCTTGGACGGGTTCCCTTCCGGTTCGACCAAATAGTAGAACAATTTCTTCCCTGTCTCTTCATTGATCGTCACATAACTTTGAAAACCCAAACCCAAAAAAGGAAAACAGAGAAAACCCGTTATTTCAAATCAAACAAGAATACAGACATCAGGACCCTTCTAAGCATCCCATTTCCAGAATTCCAGGGGCTTAAGAACCCAATAAAGAGAACATAAAACTAACCGAGACTAACAACAACATTTCAGTCAAGGAGAGCATACCCGGAGTAGTGCTTGGAAGGGAAAGAGCCAGAGAAGCCGGGAAGCTGAGTGACGAGGGCATTTTCTGGAGCAGAGTGAGCCACTAGGACTGCAAAGCTCAGCAAGATAAACCCTACCTTGTACCAGATGATAGCCATTTTGAATTGAAACAGATTTCCCGACTTTCGCAAAGCAAGAAATTTGTTGAAGTAAAGGCGCACTACTATCTACAAGCTCACGTTCCCATTATAAGCGTATTTATAATTTTATATATTCCATTAGGTTGCATTTTCTTCACGGGTTTTCCCATTTTGTTTTTCTTAGAAAGAAAAAGGAATAACAGAAATTTACTTTGAAGCCAAGATAACATATCGGAAAGGTTGATGGAAAAGCGGTACCGTGGGGAGAAGTTGAAACAAAGGAGTGAATCGGCGGAGAAGACAACCAATTCTAGTGTATGGATTGATGGCGGCAACTTGCTCCGGAATTCAGTGATAAAGAAAACTGACTTTCTATAATCATAAATATCTCCAACCAAACGAAATCTGTTCCAGGTGAAACAAGTTGTTGGGCGATCGAGATGTTGCTCCTGAAGTCATCCTAATGCAAACAACTTTAATCAAAACATGTTTCTTGAGTCACTAACAAATGTGTTTGTTTGCTGTTATGGTTATGGGAGTAGGAAGGGGTCAAATTTTGGATTGCTTGGAATCAATGGATGACTTCCGAATAAGAAAATAGTAAGAAAGAAGAAAAGGGATAATGTTAAGAAACTATTAGTGAAGACGAGCAACTACAAGAGAATATACGAGAAGAGAATGTATTGCTTTAAGTACAATTGTGTGCTCTATTTAGATGTCCATTTTACGTAATTCCTGTAATTCCTGCTATCAACTGTTAGCAGAGATTGAATCCGCATTGCAGCAAGAGAAGGAGTTTGAATAAAGTAGTCGTTGGAGTAGCCGTTGGCTACTTGCTACTGCTGAGTCGTTTTGGTTAAAGTCAAGTTCAGTCACTTAGTTTGTGTTTTGAGTCACTTTAGTCCTGTCGTACAATTAGGGTGTTTAATTGTTTTATAGTCAAGTCAGCAACGTTGTTAGCTGTGGTTGTTAGTGTGTTAGCTAAGATCAAGGGAAGTTGGGATCAAGGGGATTAGTTGGTTAGTCATGCCGAGATTACAGGACAAACATTCTTGTATTTATATTGTTCTTTGATCATCAATAAAACTGGTCAGTTGCCCCTTACAAAAGTTCACATTGTGGTATCAGAGCTTTGGCTAACTGTAACCAAACAATAGAGAGATTGCAACTTTCATTTGCAAATCAGATTGAAGATCAGGGTTTGGGAAAACCAGAGAATTAGAGAGGAAACTGAAACAGGGTGGTGAATGAGATTTCTAGCTGAAGGCTGAAAAGAAATCTGCTGAAAATGAGTGAGAATAGCAGCTTTACACAGGTGTGCATTCCCAAATTCGATGGTGATTATAACCATTGGAGTCTGCTGATGGAGAATCTATTGAGGTCAAAGGAGTACTGGGGGCGGTTAGTGAAGGATTCAGAGAGCCTTCTGAGGGTGAGACTCTCAAAGCAAAGGTCTGGAGGAGTCAAGGCTAAGGATCCGAAGAAGAAAAAAACCTACCTCTACAGCTCGATCGACAAAACAATTCTGAAGACCATCACAAGAAAAAAGACAGCGAAGGAATTGTGGGATGCAATGAAGGAGAAGTTCCAAGGAAGTGCCAGAGTCCAGAAGGCACAGCTGCAGGCTTTGAGGAGGAACTTCGAGCTGCTTGAGATGAGGGAAGGTGAAGCTATCATTGATTATTTTGGCAGAGTAATGGTTATTGCTAACTCTATGAGAAATTGTGGTGAAAATCTGACTGATGTTCAGATTGTAGAGAAGATTCTCAGAACCTTAACTGAGAAGTTTAATTATGTGGTATGCTCAATAGAGGAGTCCTAAGATATTGAGAAACTCAGTGTAGATGCACTTCAAAGCTCTTTGATAGTGCATGAGCAGAAGTTCCTGAAGAAGAATGCTGCAGAAGAGGATCAAGCTCTCAAGACAGGATATGAGAGTGCTGGAAGAAGAAGAGGTGTGGGAAGAGGTGGCTATATAGGAAGGGGAAGAGGAAGAGGCTGGAGCAAAAAATCTGTAGAATGCTACAAATGTCACAAGTTTGGGCATTTCATATATGAATGCCCTAAATGGTACAACAATCAACAAGTTAATTACTCCAACTCTTCTGATTTGAAGGATGATATGTTGCTTATGGCCTTTCTGGATGGTGTGAAAAATGAGAAGAATGAAGCTTTATGGTTCTTGGATTCAGCCTGCAGTAACCATATGTGTGGAAACAAACATTGGTTCACTGAGTTGGATACAAATTTTAAAGGAAGTGTAAGGTTGGGAAATGATTCCAGACTTGATGTAGCTAGCAAGGGATCTGTCAAGTTAATGTTGGAACATATTAACTTACATATTTAAGATTTTTATTATGTACCATAACTAAGCACAAACTTGCTTAGTGTTGGTCAGTTTCAAGAGAAAGGCCTGGCTTTTCTGATCGGGGGAGGAACCTGTAAAGTGTTTCATGAAGAAAGAGGACTGGTAGTGCAGACCAGTATGCAGAAGAACAAGATGTTTGTGCTAAAGGCAAACATGTGTAGTGAGGAGGCTATTCAGTGTCTGAAGACTAGAGAGACCAATGCACACTTATTGGAGCTATGTCACAGAAGATTTGGCCACATCAACTCACAAACAATCTTGCAGTTGCAGTAGAAGAACTTTGTGAAGCATCTGCCTAAGCTAAATGGCACTATTGGAGTGTGCTCAACCTGCTACATTGGAAAGCAGCACAGAACAACATTTCCTATGAAGAGTACGTGGAGAGCAACCAGGAAGCTTCAGCTGCTGATCTCTGTGGTCGTCCTATAACTCCAACCTCTAATGGAGGAAAAAGGAACTTTTTTACCTTAATAGATGGTTACAGTAGAAAGTTGTGGGTGTTCTTTTTAGCTACCAAGTCTAAGACACTGGATAGATTTAAGAAGTTTAAGACTTTGATAGAATATGAGGCTGGATCACCTATAGTATGCCTAAGAACTGATAGGGGAGGAGAGTTCCTCCTGAATCTGTTTAAAGAATTGTGTGAAGAAACAGGTATAAGAAGCCAGCTTACTGCAACCCTCATCCCTCAGCAGAATGGGGTGGTTGAGAGGAAGAATAGAACCATAATGAATATGGTTCCATGAATGCTAGAGGATAGAAAGGTTCCAACTTCTTTTTGGCCAGAAGCAGTGGCTTGTACCTCTCATATTCTCAACAGGTGTTCTACTGTGGCAAACCAAGGCAGAACCCCTCAGGAGTTGTGGACTGGTCAGGTTCCTTCAGCCTCACATCTCAAAGTCTTTGGTTGCAAGGCCTACGTGCATGCACTTGATCAACATAGGAGGAAGCTGGATGACAAGAGCACTCCATGTCATTTTTTGGGACTATCAACAGAATCAAAGGCATATAAATTCTATAACCCCAATACCAAGAAAATTGTGGTGAGTAGAGATGTTGTCTTTGATGAAGATAAAGGATTGATATGGAATTCTGAGATCCAACATGTTCTAACCAAGACCTACTGGGAAGGAAGTGAAGAAGAATGGTATGCGTCTGAAGATGAAGATGGTGAGCATGAATCACCAGTACCAGCAGTAGTAAATGGTGACTCTTGCCACCAGCCAACATCTGGAACTGCTCAGAATGAGACTGAAGAACAGGAGGAAGAAGAAGAAGAGCCTGCCCGATCTGAACCACCTGCTACAGGAGTCTTGGGGCACAGAAAGAGAACCATGCCTCTCCATTTAGAGGATTATGACTGTAACTTTCTCATAGACTCTGATTGGAGAGTAATGGTGGCTGTTGATTCTGACTCTTAGACCTGTGAAGAAGTAGTAGGAGATCCAAAGTGGAATGTAGCTATGCAAGTGGAAATGTTGACAATCAAGAAGAATGAGGTCTAAACTCTTACTGATCTACCAGAAGGAGTTACACCAATAGGAATGAAGTGGGTATACAAAACTAAGCTAAAGGAGCAAGATCTATTGGACAAACACAAAACTAGGATAGTGGTCAAAGGATATTCTTAGCAAGCTAGGATTGACTATGATGAGGTGTTTGCACCTATTGCCATATGGGACACCATAAGAGCACTTCTGGCATTGGCTGCTCACCATGGCATGGATGTCTACTGATAAGCCCCAAACCGCGAGGCTAGGTGATCACAACTTAGAAATCAGATTTCTAAGGAGAAAACAGCGTAATAGGGGAATGGAAGGATGGTTCGGAGTGCAACTTCAATACCACTTGTGGGGAAGAGACTCAATCGAATTCAAGGTAGCAACCTGACCATGATTGAGGTGATGACTCAATCGATACAAGGCTCGCTTGTCTCTGGCGATTCGAACCAAGCAACAAGGACAATCCACGAGTAGAATACTCAATGAACAAAAGTTCTTAATTGATCAACGTCTAACTATTACAGTGGAGTTCTAGGCCTTTAAATAGACAAACTTAAACCTAATTCAACTAAAAAACGAACCAGGAAAGCTAATTAAACTATACAATGACTAAGGTAACAATCCCAAGCTGAAAAGGACTTCCAACTCGTCCATACTCCCCTTTCTAATAGCTTAAGTAAACTGCCTCCAAAGCAGGTTCCATAGCATCTTTGAGCCTCACGTTCAAATCCCTCCAGGCCTCCATCTTCTTAGCCAATACCTTGCTTCTGTAGACAAACAAACACACTTTCATGTGCTACAAAGATCCTTCCCTGATTCGATCCCAGCTTCCCTTGAAACACAGCCTTAATGACTTTGTATGAACCTGAATCCCATGCCATCTTGTAGAGGAAGTTCTTATCTTCAAAACAACACCTTAACCTCTCATTTCCATCAACCCAATTGGAAGGTTGGAGTTCGCAAAGTTGGCTACGCGAACTCGTCATAAAACTTGGCCAAAAATTCTGATTGTGCAAATGAGTTGACTTAGCTTCTTGAACAAACAAATCTAACTTGGAATAGAAGCAATTCAAGCTCATATCATCTACCAACTAGATGTCAAAAGCGCTTTCGTGCATGGATAGTTTTCTGAAGATGTGTATGTTAAG